TTACTAAGCCTTTGCTCAGATTACCAATTAAACCTTGCTTAAATTATTTTTTTATAACCTTCGCTCAAATTATTTACTTAAGGTATTTTTTATATAACTTACTAAACTTTTACTCAAAATATTTAAGCCTTCACTCAAATTACTAATTAAACCTTGCTCAAATTATTTTTTTATTACTTTTACTCAAATTACTTATTGAACCTTTGCTTAAGGTATTTTTTATATAACTTACTAAAACTTTACTCAAAATATTTATTAAGCCTTCGCTCAAATTACTAATTAAACCTTGCTCAAATTATTTTTTTATAACCTTCGCTCAAATAACTTACTGAACCTTCACTTAAGGTATTTTTAGTAAAACTTACTAAACGTTTGCTCAAATTACTAATTAAACCTTGCTCAAATTATTTTTTTATAACTCAGGTTATTACTTACTAAACTTGGTAAATTATTTTTTATATAATTTATTAAACTTTCACTTAAATTTTGCTTTATATAGCTTACTTGAAAAAAATCGATAGAGTTAATTGTTTTTTATGTATAGTAAGGTATCTATCCTGCTCTATAGCTTGTATTAATTCCCAATTTCTTTATCCAGAACCTTTAGCCTTATTCGTGCTAGTTAAGTATTTGTTCATGAGTGTCTTCGTTGATGTGAAATTTTAGGCATTTTAAACATAAAACAGTATAAATAGAATTTTGTTACAGAACCTATTCACTTATGAATATCAACTAATACTGAGACTAATCTAAATTAATACTCTAAGTTACTAAACTGCATCAAACCTTAATAGTGAGGCTATGATTGTGGTGTGGTGAGACTAGGATTAGATATTTAAATATGGTATTTTATTTCCTATTTGGACTATTTGTTTCTATGTGTCTTCGCTCCTGTTACTAGCATGACTGCGTCGCGCAGCTACCTTATGAATATCATGAAGTGTAGGGTTATACGGCAAATTAAATGATGTGTGTCCGCAAAATCTTAAGTTTGATTGGTCGGCATGACTTATTCATCAAATTTTTTCTATTCCTTACACAATAAGTTTATCACTCTGTTATTTTTCACATTATAATAATATGGTATAGATCAGCAAATATAGGCGCAGTTATATATTACTATTTTAAAATACAAAAGACTACTAACATGTGCATTTTTAAAGTTACGATAACTAACGATATAAGGTAGCTGTGTGATGCTATTACATGACACCAGAAACGTAAATTTATGAATACCGTATAATGATAATATGGATATAGTGTAAAAATACCCAAAACATCCAATCTTGCTACTCATATATTTCAAATTTTGCAAATTAATATTTCATATAATTACGTATAAGATTTACTTATTTCACGAGATTTACAATGTTTGCTGAGTAGTAGCAATTTTTTAGAAATATCACAATTTTATATACAATTAATCAGTTTAATTGTTAAGATTTGATTTAATAGTACTGTAAATGGCCATATAAAAGACCCGGGTCTGTTACATTCTACTGATTTTAAAACTATAATAGACCCGGGTCCAGTACATGGCTGAGAGTTGTATCATCGAAAGTAAAAATTTGAAATACATACACACTTTGCATTTGTAACATAAGCATGGTTCCGAAACATGTCTATGAATGCACATTAATGCGCACGATTGAGGAATCATATGCACGTATTAAAACCATATCTATTTAAAAATAGTTATTGTAAAAATTATGTTACAAACCTTATTATTCCAGGATGTAGTTTACTAATGCATTTTATTAACGTTATTCATATTCTAGCTAGAAGACACATGGCATAAATAACACGTGATAATTTATTTTTAAAAATCATATCGATTCACATGCCTCGATTTTACATATTGATGATCAATTCATGATGACATTAATTCGAATGATTGGAATGTTGCAATAATTTCAGATGATCGCAGGTATTAATTACTCGAACCATGATAATTTATATATCTATGTAAATTTTCCCATGTTCAGGTCACATTTTTTCAGATATGACCAATAAAAAACGTTAAAGCGCACAAACCCAGAATTGAGTTAAGCTGCAGCTAATTGGCTTTAGTCAGCTTCGGCTATCAAAAATCCGTATTTGGTTAGTTCAATTTTGAAGGACAATAATAAAGTTGAACATTCGTTATGGTTAAACAAATCTCTTACTACGTATTATATATATAAATATATTGCTATGTGATGCAATATCATGAAGTTTAAGTTCAGATTCATTGTATTTAATGCATTGCCCAATCAGTTATAAGATTTTGCGGATGTACGTATATCACTAAAAACGAAATTATAGCAGATCAGTATGGTATAGGTGAGCAGATCAGTATAATACAGGCCAATTTTTAAAATTATACTATACGGATCTGCAAAATTATAGAAACTAACGCTCATATATATAATACCTGGTCCGTATAGTATTGAAAATCGGCATATACTATACTAATCTGCTCACCTATACTATACTAATACTTTCCTGGTACGTACCGTACGTCATACATATACATGTACACAAATTTAGAAATCCCAAAGTCATGAGATTTAATCAACCAATCAATGCTCAGATTTTGCTGTCTCCATTTAACTCTTTAGTAAACCATACTCTTCGTACTTTGTACTATGTTCCCGGTAAATCCATGTTTATAAAACATACCCTTATAGTAACACATAATTTGTATATTGCTTCACCAATGTTTTTTAAGTTAACTCTATACCCGAGAACCTTATTTATTAAGTCAAAAAAACTTCGTTCTCTAATCTTTTGTAGTTCGAAGAAGATCTTCAATTGAAGTTAAAGTAGTTTAACCCCTGTAATATGACAACTTATGGCATATAACATACTTAAACGGCTGTTATTTTTTCCAATGCCCGACGATCAACTAACAACAAGCCCATTTCAAATATGCTAACGTTCCATTTTGAGTGCCTTAACTGCTAAGTAATTTAATAGTTATAGTCAAGACTTTTATTTATTGAGCTAAATATGCTTTTTTTCAATCTTTTGTAATTCGAAGATCTTTATCTGAAGTTAAAGCACCCTAGCTTCGCGTATGATCTAACCAAATGCAGGTAAGTTCCAATCATCAAAATTACTGCCAACATGCTGGTTTATTTATAAATAGTTGCTAATAACTTACTTTCTGGTATATGACGAGTATAAACTAGGCGTATGGGCTTCAAAGCCAAAACTGACAAAAAAAAGTGAAACAAAAATGCGAAAACACTGACAAATTGATAGTGGAAATGACATTGGTAAGGATAACAATGAAAGCAATGGCATTAGTGCTAGTAGTAAATGTACTAACACCACACATTGACTTCAGTAACCTCAAATTCGTACAACCTTGTATTATTCTTTCCTAAGTCAAAATTATGTGTGGGATATTTGTTTATTGAACTAAACGAATGCGAACCTTTGGCATTTCGTAATTCGAATTAAAGTTACAGTACCCTAACCCTGTAATATGGTATAGGTACATTGTGCAAGTGCCTCACTTTTTTTTTTCAACAAAAAAAGCTATATTAAAACACCATACGTTTGAGATATAAACTCTGGTAAAAACCGGTAACTGGTTCTGTATTAGTTTTCTATTAATTTTCACCATTTTTTTTTTTAACAGAACTAACGACCTTTTAGATAGTGATGCGAAAACCAAAAACTAATTTAACAGTGCTAGTCTATATTTATTTTTATTTTTAATTCTTCGCTTTTCTTTCAACAGTAACTAAACTTTTTTCTTTATGTAGGTACTGAGAAATTGCGAATCGAGCTTGAGCAGAAGTTGATAACTGTTCTAACTGTAAATACACATTTTCTTCCACTTAATTCTTTTCTTTAACTCATTTTACCTTTTTAGTTCCAGAACATGAAATCGCGCATTGGCAGTGATTTGAACGTAAGCGGCGTAAACTGAAAACTATTCTAAGGATAAGTGCTAGTTTTTTGCTCAATTTTTTTATTTTGATAGAAAATTAATCTTTCTTTTGTAGGTTGTTTGTTGAACACAAAATTACCAGTTTTTTTTTTTGTTTTTTTTGTTTTTTCAGCAGTATACTAATCATTCTAATTCTAGATCGGCTCGTTGAAATGTGTAATCAGCATTGATAATGAAAATTCAGCTTGAGAGGGAACTGGCCTAATGATATGTAGCAGCTCCCTTTTTATTGCCTTATATTTAATTTCTTTAATGAGAATTATTTTTTATAGGCTTAGGGTGCAAATTCGACATGAGACGATAGAGATTTTAGCCTTTGAATTGTGAACATAATTATGGGTTTCTGGTTTTGTTTGAGGAAAGGGTGATCAGGGACACAGAAAAAGTGCGATTTTATTTATAGGATTTGAAAATCCTATAAATAAAATTGCATTTTTTCCGTGTCCCTGAGGGTGATATAAATTTGAGATCATAACATAGTCACTATGGCATAATTATTGATATTGTAGTTGAGTTACGAGAAGTGTTGTATACTTGTACGGGAATCAATGAATACAATGATATTACTAATAATATATTTTAATTATATAATAAATAATAATTTTATTATCGCGGTTTTCGAAATGGTTGACACTAAAATATTTTGTATACTCACTGTATACTGATATAGAATTATCTAACCCTAAAAAATTTTTTTGTATACTTCAAATACAACTAATATATTTAAAGTATACAAAAAATTTTTTTAGGGTTAGATGATTTTATATCAGTATACAGTGAGTATACAAAATATTTTAGTGTCAACCATTTCGAAACCCGCGATAATTAATCAACAATAATAATTTAAAAACATTAAATATAAATTTTTTTTTTATAAACTGTAGAATATAGTATACATTTTATTAATAATATTCATGGTTATAATCTTTTAATACATTATTTTTAAAATCGTATTGAATTATTTAAAGACTAATGCTTAGGTCCTTGAACGATTTGAATCGACGTAGTTGTCATTCGTTAAACCAAAACAATTGTAACAAAGTGCAGTGATTATAAGTCACCAAGCAATGACCCATAATGCCTCTTGTAACGATCCCAAACGTGCATTAACTTCGTGATGTCTTGACCATTTCGCTCTATGTCCCACGTCTTTCTTATGCCTACCTTTAGATTCCATTGATCATTAATTTAAAAAGTCTGATATTAGTACAACACATTTTATGTGAAAGATCCCAATCCATATACATATATTACCTGTTATATTTACCGCCCGATCATAGACCGATTGCTCTGCCCTACAAAAATAAAACAAGTCAATAAAGTATAACCGGAACGAAAAATGAAACTCAAAAAATTTCTACTACAAGAAAGTCATTAATCTCAACTCGTAGGAAATTTGAACCATTCTATACCCATCCTAAGAGATTCGATTAATTTCGCTTTGCTATTCTTAAAATGCTGCCCCAAAAAAAAGATCAAGAATTATTTTAATAATAAATAATCACATGTATCCAATTTCAATAATTTTTTTATTTTAATTCTATAGACTTAACAAAATTAAAATAAAAAAATGCTTCATTGACTTTAAATTAATGATTGTTGGTTTAAGTTAAAAAAAGAAAATTTACTGATTTTTTGTAAAATTCAAATGTTTTTTTAAAGATTTAGTGAAAATTTCTCAACAACTAAAATGATTCGGAAATGATATCTAAAAAATAATTGATTGATGAATCAAAATGATATCGAGGGATTTAAAGACTAATGATGATAGATAGATTCTATCATCTAATACATTTATAACTAATATAGTAAACAGCTGATGCCGGTGATGCCAATGGTGGCGGGGTTTCCAATTTTCTCGCGTCGAACTAATACTTTTCTTGACCAAAAGTTCTTCCAAACCGAATCATGTGACCAAGTTCCAGGAAAGTACAAAAGACTGTTTCTCAAGAATTCCAAGTCTTAATAGAATGATGTGAATTTAAAGTCAATTCCGACCATCAAATTGAGTCTCACAGGGTTTTTATTAAAGTTACAAGTCGAAATTTCAACGATAAGTATTTACTTTATTATTTCTTTTCTATATGATAACAAGGGACATGGACTTGTCCTTCTTTATTAATTTTTCAGCGTTTTTATACATTTTAGTTTTTTATAGCGTCGACGTTAAGTATTTAGCGTCAGCGCTAATAATTTAACATCTATGCTAATCTTTTGATGAGAACATTAAAATTTTGGTGTCAACGCTAAAAATTTGGCGTCGAACCACGCCTCGTAAGCCCCATGCAATTCCCAAATTTGCATAATTAATTTAACTATTGCCAAAAGACATCTACCGTATAACCGCGAAATAACGCGCAGGGGCGTTATTTTGAAGTTTGGCCCGAATTAAGCTTAATTTAGGCCGAAAATTGAAATTACACCCCTGCGCGTTATTTCGCGGTTATACGGTATATTACTATATCGAGCATTGTTATCAAATGGAATTGGCGCGTGATGACATAATACATTCGAAAATAAAAATAGAATAAAATAAAAATAAGAAAAATATATGTATAATTGCTAAGTATAGTTTTAATCCATAACATTAGTGTACTCTAATATTGTACAACTGTATCCCTTACACCGTTTTGCAGGAAAATTTGCCTGCAATTTGCATTTTCTCAATAAATTATTAACCTAAGGGTACATGGTATCATAAGAAGACTAAATCGTTTTAGCACACAACCTCTCTATCCTTTTATTTCTTCGTTCACTTTTTTAGGAACTTTAAAAACCATGTTCATGTACTACCTCAAAATGTCCGATATATTTAAATGGTATTAATCTTCGGACTTTTGATGTATTTGTACGTAATGCCGATTAACAGCGCAAACAATTTTGGGGGATTAAAAACATGATGATGATTGGGTATCTATCTACCGGCAATTCGGCTTACGGTGTAAGGGATAACATATAAAAATATAATTATTTGTCACTTGTTTATATGTTTAATTAAAGAAATTGATCAGTTAATTGATCGGCTATAGCCGGCTATTATTCGATAGTTGATAGCAGGATAACCGACCGTGGCTGACCGAACACATCCCTAGTTGTAATTGCCATAATCGTTGTAATTGCTGAATAGATTGCAATTGCCGTAGCAAATAAGTGTTCGATATAATTATGATAATAACAATCGAATTATTAAGTGTAGTAATTCTATAAGCATCACCACACCTGTAAATTTTTGAAAAATAAAGTAATGCCTTATGTTTATACTTTTAATTTCGATTTCTCATTAAATGCCTTGTCGTCATAAATAATTTGATCGGATTGTAGCTATTATCTTTGCTTATAAGTAATTCATCCTGCTTGACTAGATTTAACTAGACGCATTACATATATTACAGCCATTACACAATTCCTACCATTATACCAATTACGACCATTACACTCATTACAGCAAAAAATTACAACTTTAGATAAAGGTTGCAACCTTCCAACTTCACTGAACCTATTACGGCAGGCAACCTTAATCAATAGAAACGTTAAGAATAATAACCAACTTCTTGTCGACATTGGATATTTCAAGAAGGATACGAAAAAAATCCTAATCTCTATCGATAGATAAGTTAACATCTTACCTATTTCGTCAAATCTCATCAAGGTCAACGAATATTCGGAAGAAAGTATCGATCAGTCTGAAATGAAGGGCTTAAAAGATTATCAACTGCAAAAGAGTACATAATTTATCGAAGAAAATGGGTAAAAAGAAATAAAGTATTGTTCATTAGATATGTATTGCAAATTGCATTAAATAATGCTTTATTATCGTTATACTGTAATTGAAAAATAAAACTTTAGTACGTACGTAAAAAGAAAAAAAAAGTAAAAAAAATTCGCCATTTTCAGGAACATCGTCCGAACTAAACCTGGTGTGGTGCACACATTACACAACATGGCCACATTTGGTATTATTATTGCTCGATCATCTGACTTTATACCAACAAAAACTGACTGATTTTATTTACAACGCTGAAAAACATATGGGATAAGGGCTCGCTACCCCAGTGGCTCTAACATACATAACCCAAATACATAATTTCAGAAACATAAACTTATTAACAATAAACAAAAGAAACACCAATTATGCTTCACATATCCCACAGACGAAGGGACAATCCAAAACAACTCAGATTCAAATGCTTTCATATAAAGAGAAAATGTCATTCCTTCCATAGCTGAAAAGAGCATATACTCATGCCAATATAGGCAGGTTCTCATTCTTATTATGGCCTTGTCACTTTGAGCCGCGGGCCAAGAAATAAAAACTGGTCCTTGCACTGCCACCAGCAGCCGCGGAGCCACATACCAAAACGGTCCTTGCACTGCTACTGCAGCCGTGGAGCCTGATAAAACAGCAACAAGATATCAACATTGCTTACTTAACTTCGGGAGGGTAAGGGAGGGCGATAGAGCCAGCCTTCACAAGGCGAGCAATAGCGAAAAGAAAGATAACTTTCTTTACTGAAATTATCTACTTTAAATACCCACTCTTTTCCTATCACTGATTTCTCCTTGATTATCGCCAATATCCCTTATGAAACGTGAGCATAAGGTGTAACACAAAATCTAAAGCCAAAATTAAATTATTTAAAGTTAGGTTAAATTAAGTTTTGGATAAAGTATTTGCGGTATTAAAAATTTTGACGTTCGGATTGTGTGTACCAAGTTGGTGCGTCGCAGTGGCTAGAAAATATTTAATTCTTTTGGTTGGCAGAATTTAAAATTCATAACTTTAGATACTAACGTTGATATATAAATTCTTTATGTATTACGTAAAAACATTAATTTAGTATTTTTTATAAATTGTATTGCTTTATTACTTTTTTTTTTTCTTTTAACCTTTCATTTTTTTGTTGTACTAAAACTCTTCTTTATTGCAGTATTGAATTGAAATGAAAAAACTAACAGTTTGTCCATTAACTACGATGAAATAGAAAATCGTATCCTATAAACTTATTCAAAATGCTTAATAATAGCTAATGATTAAACCAATAATGAATTAATTTCACCTTTACAGTTCGTATCTGCTACAACGAATTAAATTAACCTATACACGCACGCACGTGTTGTAACGAATTGTTTATTTGTTTCACAAAAAGCAAGACAAAATTGTAAACATATTGTTGTAACGAATTATTTATTTGTAAACGTATTCGGAATTTACATATGGGCTAATTTCCGATTATTGGGCTCTGAATAGAGTCACTAAATTCAGTTTAAACCCCTTGTTTGATTATTTTTTATTGGTCTAACGTATTGTTAGGGTGATTGATTTGATTTTTCGAGGGCCTTTTCTGCACAATTATGCAAGAAGGATATAACGAATATGCATTTAACCCATTAGATTATCTTAAAACCCATTAGATTATCGTCTAATTATTAGCCTAGGCCTACCTAGATATGCTGTTTGACTTTGTTATTGTTACCGTATAGTTCCAAAAAATAAGCACCCCATAATTTTTTTATATCCGAAAATAAGCACCCCTTTTAATAGTTATCAGATTAGAAACTGGTTTAAAACCGGTTTTCTTGTTCATTTTATATCCGAAAATAAGCACCCCTATAATAAAAAAGGGGTGCTTATTTTTGGAACTATACGGTATGTGTAAATGGTCAAAATAACCCTTTCACCTCATTCATTCAGACAATTGTATTGTCAAACAACTTGACCAACTATAAAAAATTTTTAGGGTATGTGGCTCTCTCTCTTGCATTACTATACATATTAGCCCATATGATTTCACAAAATGTCAAAACAACATTGTCAACGAATTTTGTTCTAGATATTCTGAAATTCAATACTATTCAGCCACTATAGCGCACAAACCTGGTACGCTCTGGATGCAAAATTTTGTATGGCATAAACAAAAATAAGCACGTGTTTGTATTGTTATCAGTCAGGAATAAGCACTATGTTATCATGATGTACATTTTTTATAAAACCTATACAGTAAATGTTATATAAAATTTTTTATATAGATTTACAAATCTAATGTATACTTATATAATTGAAGTTTTTATATGTATGATTTATTTATTATTATTTACATAAAAATAAAAATTATGTAAATATTCTTCCTATCCATATAAATTATTTTAGCTATTTCACAAAAGTGACTAACGTATAGGCGCGTAATAACGCACATGGGCGTTATTTCGAAATTTCAAGTTTTTTTAAAAATGCCATATTTTACTCAAAATAACGTACACCTCCATATGAACCAGATTATTATTCAAGAAATTAGTTGAAATTTTTTCAAAATTAGCACAATTGATTCGAGTTATCGCGCATGCGCGTCCCGAAATAACGCACAGGGCTCGAAATAACGCGCCTATACGGTAAGTAACCAGTGTTCGATATACTAAGTAAAAATGATCAGCATACCCGAAACCATTTCCAAACTCCTAATTAAACTTTAAAACCTAACTCTAGCATTAATATTTAAATTTAAAATTTTTGCAATGTTACATAAATCAACATAGAAATATATATAGATTTATTCAAATAACTAAATCTACATTGGGTTCATAAAGTTGAGCTTAAATAAAAATTCTACATAACTTAATGTAAAATTTTAAATAGATCAATGTAAATATGTATTCCGTGATGGTATTTAATGAATTGAAGTTATTGTTGTTACATAAACGCAAAGATATATGAAACAGAAATTGGTAATGTTAGAGGATTTTAACAAGTTGATGGCTGTTATAGAAATAGAATTGGTGTACTAAAAGACACACAACGAGCTAATCACTGGTATCAAATAGAAAGAGATGTAGAAAAAAATAAACAAATTATCGTATGAAGACAATGATGGATTCCTTACAACGAATTTCAAGATATAAAAGAGATAGGAAAAGGTGGATTTACAATAATAAATGCATGGACATGGATCAAAATAAACGGCCCAAGACAACTGTTATTACTCACAAAATTGCTATTGGCTTGATAGGTGAGTCAGGATGATGATAACGAAATCAACAATTCTTAAAAAACTGATAAAATTAAACTTAATATTCAATCACATGTGTACATAAGTGTCTAAAAATATTTTACTCTTGGGTAATTTCAAATAATCTAAATTATTTTGATACACGAATTATAAATAATTTAGTTGTCGAAAAAAGATTTAAGCTTGGAAATTCTAGAAGTCAGGATATTTATGTCAAAAAGTTTGGTGTGTCGAAAATATTTTAATGTATAAAAATTAATATGTCAGAATATCTATTGTGCTAAAAATAATAGAATATCCTGAATTTCCTTTGCATAACTCATATATTGTAGATAAGCAGAATATTAAAAGAAAAAATTAGGTTCAATTAGATTTGTTCTGTGTTATAGATATTAATTAGCTATTTCAATTTAAAAATACTTCTTAATTAATAATTTTCACGATCTAAAATAAAACCAATATTAATACCGTTATAATGTCCTCTCTATTAATAAAAATTTTAAAATTTCATTAAATCGAAATTTTATCAATATATTCACTTTAACAAGAGAATTTTATATAGGTTAGTTTTAAATCAACTCTACTTATTGAGATTTAACCTTCACTACATTAAGAGTTTGTTATAAGTGAATACGGAGTATTTTAAATTCAATTGATTTTGAATCTACTTAATTAGATTTTATATCCTAAAACGGTTTAAGTAAGAATTGAAATTATACTATCGATGTATAATATTAGCTTATTCGGAATTATAGTTGTTGTTTATTGCATATAATAAA